GCAGGAGAGGAAGGCCCTCTATGAGGTGGATTGATTCAGTGACTGGGGTAATTGGCATGGGTGTATTGGAGACAGTGTGATTAGCACAGGATGGAGCAGGGTTTAGGGCTGTTGTACATAGAGTCGCTATGTGTTGCAAGTGACTCGATGGCACATAACAACAACAACAACAACAGGCATTAGTGAGATGCAATGGACCAGCTTTGGCCATTTTGAATTAGGTAATCATATGGTATACTAAGCAGGGAATGAAAAACAGTGAAAGAATGGTGCTGCATTCATAATTAAAAAGTCAATTTCAAGTTCTATCCTGAAATATAATGTTGTGAGTGGGAGGATAATAGCCATTTGCATACAAGGAAGACCTATTAACACAACTGTTATTCAAAAATGTGCTCCTGTATCTACAGTCAAAGAGGAAAAAAACAGAATTTTTACCAAGCTTTGCAGTCTGAAATTAACTGAACTTGCAATCAGGATGTGTTAATGATAACTGGTAACTGGAATGCAAAAGCAGGAAATAGTGAAGAAGAAACAGTATTTGGAAAATATGTGCGTGGAGATTGAAATGAAGCTGTAAATAGAATGATCGTATTTTATATTTACAATGATTTATTCATTGCAAATATTTTTCTTTTTTTAAGATATTTTTTAAAATTCATTTTCATTTTACAGAGACTTTGGACTTCCATTCATTTATTATTGCATTTTTCTCTCTGACCAACCCTCTCCCCCAAGTCATTCTCCTCTCTGAAAAGTAAAAAAACAATTCCTTCACTGTTATACAATTCCTCCTCCCAAGTGCACTCCACTATGCAGCCTTCATTCTGGACTCCTGTCATAATAATAATATCTAATATATCATTTTTAAACAGTTCTCTCCATCATCTGTTTCAATGCAGTATACATTATTTGTCCCCTCTTTCTCAATCTCCCCTCAACCCCAATATTAGTCCCGTTTTACAACAGTGGCACTATGCAGTATTTGTCTGTTTGTGACTGAGATATTTCACTCAGCATAAAGTCCTCCAGGGTCATCCATTTTGAATACTATTTCATGAGTTATTTTTCACTGGAGCATAGTATTCCATTGTATGATTATACCAGAGCTTCTCTATCCATCTGTTTGTTGATGGGCACTTAGGTTGCTTCCAACTCTTTCCTATTGTGAACAAAGCTGCAATGAACATATATCTGCTCGGGTGGCAGTTATGGTTTTAGGGGTATATTCCCAGTAGTGGAATTTGCTGGGTCAAATGGCATGTCTATTTGCAACTTCTTGAGAAAGCGCCATACAGTGTTCCATAGCGGTTGCACCATTTCACACTCCCACCAACAGTGAATAAGGGTTCCAGTTTCTTCACAATCTCACCAGCATTTGATGTTTGAAGCTCTGTTAAATTTTGCTATTCTTACTGGGGTGAGATGATATCTCATAGTTGTTTTGATTTGCATCTTTCTTAGAGCTAGGGTTTTTGAACATTTATTTCTTCATGTGCTTGTTTGCCATCTGAATGTCTTCTTTGGTAAAGTGTCTATTCATATTCTGTGCCCATTTTTCACTTGGGTTATTTACCTTTATCTTCTTGTGGTGCTCGAGTATTTTATGAATTCTAGACGTAAGTCCCTTGTCTGACATATCATTACCAAATATTTTTTTCCCCATCTGTGGCTTTCCTTTTTACCCTGTTGGAGAAGTTCTTGGATGTGCATAGTGATTTGATTCTTTTTCATCTATTTTATCCTCTCCTGGTTGTAGAGCAAATATTTTTTCTAAAAGACACAACAACTTTACACATGGATTTCATCTGATAGGCTGTACAGGAATCATACTGACTACAATTGTTGGAGAAGCTTAGCATTGGCAGTCAAAGTAGGCCAGGGCATACTGTGGGTCAGATCATTAATTATTCATATACAAGTTCAGATTGAGGCCAAAGGAAACTAAGTCCACAAGAGCCAAGATATGATCTTGAATCAATTCCACTGGAATTTCATTATCATCTTAAAAATAGGTTTGAGGCATTGAACATTCATGACAGAAGACCAGATGAGTTGTTGGATGGTATCTAGGATATCATCCATGAAGAAAGCAAAAGGTCATTACAAAAACGGGAAGTGTGAGGACGGCACAGGATATAACAGGGTTCAGATATTGTGTTCATAGGTTTGCTATGAGTTGTACTCGACTCAACAGCACTTAACAACAATATCCCTGAGGTACTCACTCTTACATTAATCAACCATGTAAGTCAAAAAGGTAGCATCTGACCAACACAAAGCCCTGAAGAAAGGAAGGGGTAGGACAGAAGGACCAATGAGAATGAGAATTACAGATAGGTAAGTGGTTAAACTGTGTGTGGTTAATGTTATAAAACAGAATTTGTATGGATAGTTGAAGGAAAGCCTCTTTTGCTCAGTAAACTCTAATTCAAATGACAATTCAAAGAGAAAACCCAAACCAACCCATAAATTATTCTCCCATGCCCTCCATGCCAGCAGGTATTAGCCATCCCCCACTGATTGGCCTTTCAGACATGCTGCTCAGTGCAGTGTGGCTAGGGTGGACAGGGACATGTTGCTCACTTACCCTGGTCAAAGCCATTGTGTCTATAATGGGCCAATGCCAGCTCTTCAACGGAACACAGCATGGTGGTGGGGACACTGGCTTCCTCGGCCTCCAGCACAAACACAGACTTCCCCAGCCCACTCTGTGGGCACATCCTACCAGTGATGGTAACCTGAGACAGCAACAGAAGAATACTAATTATCCAAAATCCAATTAAAGTCCCTGAATAACTGGCATTTGCGTCTTAATGACAAACTTTTCTACACTCACCTGAAATCACCTGCTTAGCATAGCACACAAGTGTGTTATGCACCCTGTCACACCAGGGAGACAAGGGTCGTCACTGTCTGGCTCTGAGCAGAGATAGGGTGACTGGAGTCTGCCCTCAGCCCACCGACTGAGCAAGGGCAAATGGGAGATGCTGCAACGTTCACACCTTAGGGCTTTGTAGAAGGCCACTCTACTCCAGCCGTAACTCAAGAAGCCAAACAGCCCAGAGTCAGTAATTAGGAGAGTGTGACAGTGGTAAGAGATGGCCAACTCAGTGTTCACAAATGAAGACACAGTTTTCTAAGTCTTAAAGAAAATCCAGACCAGAAGAGTATACTGAGTTTGCTCTCATTCAGAAAAAGTCAAGAAAATGCATTTAAACCCAAAGGGCATTTACTTACATGTTTTACATCTTCCACAAGGATTTCTGGGAGTTTGCAGAGGAGGTACTTGAACTTCTTACAGCTTGGAGACTCTCTCAGGCGCACTGCTCTCTGATACAGTGAGAGTCGATGTCCTGTTCTTACGTCCGGATCTGCCAAACCTTCAAGGATGCAATGAATAGCCTACAAACAGCATGGGCCCTCATCAGGATCCTAGAAAAGGCCCTACAGCATTCCCATAGTTTAAGCTGACAGAAAAACTCACTATAATTAATCAATTTTGTTAATTATCAAATGAGGAACTCAACCCAAATAAAAATTAAGGTTTTATTTATTGTCTTAAATTTTATTGACATTTTAAATACACAATTATCATGTATTGAGGGAGTTAACACTGTGAACCTAAAGGTGGCACTACTCTGGTGGTTTGCATCCACCAGCTATGGGAGAGAGACGGGCAATTTCCTTTTGTGAGATTTAGTCTCTGAAAACCCAGCGGAAGGTCAGCTATGACTTGGTTCTGACTTGAAAGCACTGAGTATCATGTAGTACATTCCTCACAACTCTGTGCTATAAACTCTAACCTCTATACATGTGATTAGAGAGCTCTGGGAGCTTAGCAGTAAGGAGTGATGCTGCCAAACAGGTGTAACAGGGCATTATTCAGATTCAGCCATAAAGAGAGCAATGTTCTGAAGGATGCCTCCATATAAGATGGACCTTCAAAACACTATGCTGACTAAAGAAGCCAAACACAAGGACCACTATCACACACTCGATCCCATTATAAAGAAGTATCTAGAACAGGAAATTCATAGAAGCAAATTCAAGAGTATCAAGGAGTGGGGACAGGAAAGATGGGGGAGTTACTATAAATGGCTAGTAAGTTTCTGTTTAAACTCATCACAATTGAGTTGATTTCATTCCCCTTATGGTTTTCTGAGGCTATAAATCTACAGGAAGAGAATGTCCAACTTTCTCCTGAAAAGCACACTGACCTTTTAGTTAGCAGTCTAATATGTAACATATACTACCAGAGTTCCTTCAGGGTGATGAAAAAGTTTTGTAAACAAAAGGAAGTCAAAGCTGTACCTGGTCAATATAAATTACATCACTTATCAATGGTTAAAATGTCTAATTTAATGACATATATTTTAACTCAATTAATAAAAAATCTTGGGAAGATGGGGCTGGGAAGATGGGGCTGAGAAGATTGCTTTTGTGGCTCACCTGCCCTAAGGCACAGAACAGTCCAGAGTGGTTTGAATCCACTAGCTGCCCCTCAGGAGAAATAGGGGCAATCCTCCCACATGATCTACAAGCTCTGAAAACCTGCTGCAGGGTCAGGTATGAGTTGGAGTTTTGTGAGTGAACCCTAAAGAAGCTAGGATGTTGTCTCAAGTGTTGGCTGCTAACCAAAGGTTTCACTAAGGGAAAAGATGGGCAGTCTCCTTCTGTAAAGATTTACAGCCCTGAAAACCTGGGTATATGGTCACTATAAACACAAAGTCAATCAAAGGCAACATCCTACTCACTACCACTAGAAAAACAAAGTTCCCAGTGGCCAAGTTTTCTCCTGCACTCAGATGCCCAATCATGGTGAAACCACCTACACAGCACTGCTGTGGCCAAACACCACAGATGTGGTGCCAGGCTTATTGATGCCACAGCCCCGTGGTCCTCCTCTGGGTGCAAGGGTCAGAGTTACTCAACAATACAGCTCAGAGAAAAGCAAAATACTTCAACAACAAGGCTCAACTACGAAAGGAAGGTGGGGTTTTCATTTCTTTTACCAACTTTTCTACCTGAGGTACTATGCAAGAAATTAATTCATTAAATTACCCTTTCTGAGAGATGTAACTGGGTATTTCTGTCATCACAGGAGACTAGAGCGAGGGCTGCATGGTGGAGGGGACCTGGGGGAGGGTTTGTAAAACAATGAAAGAATCTTTTCTTTTACTTTTCCATAATTTTTGGACTCATGTACTTATAACTTGTTAGTCAAATTTGTGTCTTCTA